AGAGACTTCAAATTCCTCTAGTGTCCTTGTTTTTGTCTCCCATGTTATCTGTGAGCTTCTCTATGAACTCCTCCTTAAATAGTCAATCTACTGAAGCTCTTTCAGCCATAACCCACTGTTATTATAATATATTGGATCCTGGGAGAATCTGGTGGAGTTCCTGAATGAAAAACCCACAACAGTGCACTTCCTCCTGAAACTGTAGCCCCCAGGAGTGTCTTACTCTCACACCAGTCTGTACTCAGCCTCTAGCAATCTGTCAAAATCACCATTAAGTGTTCCCGTCAGCTTATGAATTCAGAAATTCTGCTCCCAGCAAGCAGACCTCACTGTGATTCTCTGTGTTTGCCTGCTTCTCAAAATTTGGGGTGGCAGTTTGCCCTGCAACTTCAGCTTTCCATTGGACTTAAGAAAAGTCATGGATTTTCAGTTTGTTCAGCATTTTTTCTTATAAAAACAAGAGTGATGACTCTCAAGCTCTTTACATTTTGGAACTGAAACTAGAAGCAGCAGGACATTCTGATATGAATTATTTAAAAGGGTCACTGTTGACTCTAGAGACATTTTAATATTGCTGCATCAAAAGATAAAAGCACTCTCCTTTCTTCTAGTGTGATATATGCCATGTACACCTCTGAGCTCACCACTAACTTCAACTCTACCTTATCCCTAACTTCCCATTTCAAATGGAAGGGAATGGGGTTTGAGGATGTGAAAAGGGGTCCCTGTTTTACCCATTATTTGATGATTAAAAAGCTGAAAATAACCTATCACAAAATGGCCTCAGTAAAGTGGCTGCATCAGACATCATTTAGCCTGGAAAACCAGTATGCAGAAAGGCTTAAATTTAACTTTTTGAATCCAGTATTATTTATTTATTTATTTATTTATTTATTTATTTATTTAAGACGAAGTCTAGCTCTGTCACCCAGGCTGGAGTGCAGTGGCGCAATCTCGGCTCACTGCAAGCTCTGCCTCCCAGGTTCACGCCATTCTCCTGCCTCAGCCTCCCAAATAGCTGGGACCCCAGGTGCCCGCCACCACGCCCGGCTAATTTTTTGTATTTTTAGTAGAGACGGGGTTTCACCGTTAGCCAGGATGGTCTCGATCTCCTGACCTCATGATCCACCCACCTCAGCCTCCCAAAGTGCTGGGATTACAGGCAGGAGCCACCACGCCTGGCCCTGAATCCAGTATTTTTTAATGGAAACATGAGTTGGTTGAGATACTGAGTTCCTGCCTTCTCCATCCTAATCCCAAATTTCCAATCTCCTTCCCCCTTTACCATTTAATCTCCTGAGCCCAGCTCCTCTCCAGCCTGAAGAGTGTGTCTGTCAAGACTTTAGCTGTGAACAAAACACTATTACTTGAGCCTTATCCTGGAGCAAATGTGTGTGGTCTCACCAATGAACGTCAGATAAGTCCCTTGGCATGGATTTTTCTTTTTAGAAATATCATCATAAAGGTTACTCAGACTTATTGAGCATTTACTATGGCCAGAAATTGTAATACTTGCTTTCCATATAGTTTATCTCACTTATTCCTATTACTCTTTGAAGTCAGAATTCTAACTATGAACCAGAGAAAATAAGTGACCTGCCTAAGGTCTTCCAGTTGGTTTATGGTGAAGACAGGATGCAAACTGAAATTTGTCTGTGATTTAAGTTCGGTGCTTTCCCTAGTCTCCTCCATTCAGAGGCAGAACATAAGCATGTAATAGATACCACTAGGGTTCTTGTTTCTACATTGGGAACAGCTGCTTGCAAGTCCAAATTAGGCAGCTAATCTAGCAGTTAGCCCAGATACAGCCCTGAGGCACCCCAGTAGCTGTAACTCCCAGAAGGCAGGAACCTTCCATTCACTAGTGAGTCCCCAAGACAGTGGCCCAAGTGAAGCCAAAATGTTTGTTGGAAATATGAGTGAATAAAAAAGTAATTTCATGAACATATGAATGAATACATGAATGAATGAAGCAACACCCAGTATAATGATTACTGCAACAGGAAGATGCCTTTCCAAGCATCACAAGGTCCTGGGATCTTCACTGACTATAAGTGCCAGTGGGGCAGGGACCATATTGGTCTTATTCATCACTCTCCTACCAGGTAAATTAGCACATTCCTGGCACACTGTAAATGTTCAATACGCTTTTGTTCCTTTTGATGGACTCACTTATCACAGGCAGCTCTTTCAAGAACAAGTAGCCCTGTGCTCTGGAGAATGATTTACAGTGGTTCTCTTCCTCAGCCCGTGGCCTTTTCTGGATAACTCCCATCTTACTCCCCTCTACTTCCTCTTCCCAGAATACACCAGTTTATTATTACAGGCACCACTCTTCACCCCATGTCTGATTCTTCCCTCACTCTGCTTAATGTACAAGTAAAACAAAGAAATACTGTGTAGGACCTATTGGAATTAGAATCCTGCTCTGTTACCATTGGAAAGGATTTAGGGATCATCTCCCTTCAGAGGTGAGAATAAGAAAGTGTAAGTGAGTAATCCAAGGTCACCCGGTTGCTCACCAGACAGAAAGACCCAGAGCCCACCCCTCCTGCCTGTTAGTCCAGTGCTCGGGTGGCCCGTGAGTTCGTGTTGGCCCTGTCAGACCAAAGACAGTAATGAATATTAAACCCAGAATGCACCATAGTATCAGGCCTTTTTTGTTTTTGTTTTCTATTAGTAACACACGCAGAAGAGGCAGCAACTAAAACCCCAACATCAGAGGCTCACCATCCCCACCTTCTGGCCCACCACTGGCAATGAACCCAAGCACAAGTCACTGCAGTCTCGTGAAAGAAAACTGATGTGGGGGGTTGGGTGGGCTTCAGGGTGTTTATTGCCGTCTCCCCCTCCAACACCTGGAAAGCTAAGTTATGGTGTGAAGTCAGAAAATGTGGAATCTGCAACCCTGTCTTTAAAAAAAAAAAAAAAAAACTCATAGAACTTGGACTCTAATCATAAAGATTTTACCAAAGCATATTTTTTAAAGGCTGTGAAATATTATGCAACGTTTGCATGGTTTAATTATGAGTTTAGAAAAGCCTAGCACAACTTTTTCACTACAGTAAAACATGACAGAGCATGAATCATGGCATAATACTTTATGCTTAGTGTGGCTTTAGACACGGGGTTAGAGGTGTGAGGCTGTCTACACAACAAGGCATGAATTACTCTACCGCAATTCACGCCCTGGGGGGCTTTCCGACAATTCTGAAACCTCTTTTGTTTGCTTTTAAAATGATTAAAATATTGGAGTACTCTATATTCACTTAGTAAACGTGTGTATCTAGTATATACGCATGACTTATACAAAATATCTAAGTATAAGGTTTTTTTTTTCATTTGGAGTAAAATACCTGCAGTAGCATGGGAATACTGAACAGTCTGCTATTTCTGTTTGCCTTTAGTTATTGGAAACACTGTTAACTGTAAGATTACACAGGAGCTTCAGCCAAGGTTGAACATTTATTTTCTGCTGAGTTTAAAAGGGACCAGCTCTTTTGTTCCTTGCCACCTCTTTAAATCCTCTAAAATTTGGAATAAAATGAAGACCTTTCTTTAATATTAGATTTCAAAGATTCCAAGCTAAACTATTTGCCCAGGAACTACCAGGTTTTTTAAACTTAAAAAATCAGTTATTTTCATGCACACACAAAAAAGAAAGAAATGAATCAGTATGAGGGAGGGAGGAAGGGAGGCTGTCAGGAGAATACTGGGGAGGAAGATTTGGGTCTCCAAATGTCTGATTCTGTTATCCACTGTGGCAGCTTCAGAGAGATAAACAGAAAAGCAAATGTGAACTGCTGGAAATGAAAAGCCCCTGTAGGAAGCAGATCTGAATATTTTATAATGAGTAGAAATAGCTCATTTCTTTGTGTCCTGACCTATCCAGAACTTATACCCAGTATTGGAAAGAAGTCTCCTCTTCCTACACTGCTACTTGCAGGATCATGAAGCTCTGGCTGTGAAGACCCTTGGGAGTTATGGTAGTTCACTGTTATCTTTGTCCACAAAGGTGGGACATAAAGAGAAAATTAATGTTTAACTCCAAAGAAGTTAAAACTCTTCTAGTGGGACAGTGTCCAATTTAAATTTCCTTACACATTTGCCTAAGAATAGAGCTGGCTTTCCTCCTCCTTTTCATCTGCAAACAGTATGATGCTTTTGAAAATTAAGACTCCTTTGAACACTGGAGTCAAATTGACAAAATCCATTCTGTCTGAATCTTTTGAAGTCAGACTTTTGTCTCTTTCCTATCCCAGGCCTCTTATAATGGCAACCTATAAAATACCTGCTAAAAACTCTGACTTTTAAAAGTTGCAAACTTGAAGTCCTGAAAAGGAACAGAAGGCCTGGGCTGATAGGGCCAGTTCTACTGCTGGGTTTGTGAACTAGTCATTAGACCTCATTGCCAGCTTCCCAGCCAGACCTTCTTTCCTGTCATCCTTGGGAGAGAATTCGCCTTAATATAAAACATTTACCAGCCCATGGAATACTTTTTGCCAAAGGTAAAGGTATTGAAAAAAAAAACAAAAAAAAAAAAGCCCCAAACTCCACATTCTTACCGAACACAGATAAGTGATCCCCTGAGTTTATAAAATGTTTCTGATGATGATAATTCTAATTATTGGCAAAGCTGAAATCATCTCAGCAGTCATGAGATACTTGAAGTTCTCAAGTGCTGCAGTTCAACAGTGTGGACATGAACACTCCTACCTTGAAAGTGTAATCCATTTCTCTCATCATTGTTAGCATGATTAAATAAAACCTTTGGAAGGAATAGGTATCAGGTGAAAATCTCCAAGAATCCAGTCTCTTTTGGAGGGAAATAATCCAACAGAGGCAGATACTTGGACTTGAGTAGGCTTATTAAACCCTGGTACATAGGCCACATACATGTATGTGACATATTTGAACAAAGGCCACTCGTTTCTTATTAAAAGACATTTTTAAAATTCCACCCCACTTTACATATAATTGACCTTTCTGATTCTCTTCAGATACAAGGCAGATCCAGCCATCCCCACCGTGGTCCTATGATCAGTCCTACCAATACCTGGGATCCATTGCCTCTCCTTCTGTGCACCCAGCAACGCCCATTTCACCTGGACGTGCCAGCGGCATGACAACCCTCTCTGCAGAACTTTCCAGTCGACTCTCAAGTAAGCCACTTGAAAACACATTCTTTGCAGCTGAGCTGAGGTGGAAGGTCCGGGAGACTAGAGATGCATGAAGGAGTTGGCAGAACATTATTTAAAATTCAGTAAAACATGGTTTAAAGACAAGGTGACCTATCTCTACTCTAAGTCCCATGCCCATGCACTGATTTTCTTGGATACTTAGAAGGCAGAGATTGTGGATGTGAAGGCAGAAGTGGCTTGGAGAAGTAGGTTCCTTAGACATTCTAAAGTTGTTCACATTTGGCAAGAAAGGATGGTGACTGAAGGGTTAAGAACAATATAAAAAGTCAAAGTAGTCAACTTTTAGGACTCATTATTCCAAATGAATTCTGGACTGATGGGACTGGTCCATGTGGTGGTGGTAAATTTTCACAGATCACATGGACAGCACACGGGGGTACCTGTGGAATGGGAAGCAAATACAGCCACCCCTCGGTATCCATGGAGGACTGGTTCCAGGACCCCCCATGGATACCAAAATCCATGGATGCTCAAGTCCCTCATATAAAATGGTATAATATTTATATATAACTTATATATATCCTGCCATATATTTAAATCATTCCTAGATTACTCATAATACCTAATAAAATGTAAATGCTACGTAAATACTTGTTTTAGTGTACTGTTTAGGGAATGACAAGGAGAAAAGTCTGTATATGTCTAATACAGACACAACTATCCTTTTTTAAAATAGTATTTTTTGATCTATGGTTGGTTAAATAGATGCAGAACTCATGGATATAGAAAACCAACTGTATACCCCAAATTAGACATTTCCAACTAAGCGCTGTTCATATAGAGGCTAGAGGGACAGAGTGAAAAACTCAGGTGTCATGGTTAGCATAATTGTTGTTAATATGAGCTCATTAAGTATTAGTCATTTAACCTATGAGCCCTTTGGGCTTGGCACTCACCTTTGCTCGTGGGCAGGGAAATCAGAGTTACAGAGAAAAATTCCTTTGTTGAAGGCAAAAGAAGAAACTTAGTGTTTGGGGCTTTGAAATTGGAGCTGCACCAAACTGTGAAAATGCTTCAGAGAACTTCAGTGTTATGATGCCTGCAAACACCCTTGCATGTGTGTTTGGGGGAGGGGGTGGGTCTTGCTTTTCAGCTCTTGGGATCAGATTATAGCAGATTAGGGGACAGGCACAGTCTGCCATTTTAAATGTTGTGTAATGTTGTGTTTTCCAGACAGTTGTGATTACTTCAGGTTTCATCAGATGCCTTAGCTGCTTCTCAGAGCTTCACAACAGCAGTACTATTGACATTTGGGGCCAAATAATCCTTTGTTGGGGGAGTCTGTCCTGAGCATTGGAGAATATTTAGCAGCATCCTTGGCCTCTAGATGCCAATAGTATCCTGCTCACCCCAGTTAGGACAATAAAAAATGTTTCCAGACATTGCCAAGTGTCCCAAGGGGCAAAACTGCCCCCAGCTGAGAACCATTGCCTTCCAGTATTCTTGGGTGCTACAGTAAAATAGGAAAGCCAACTTCAGTGCTCGGTTTTCACATTACTTTTGGCCATTATGCCAATATTTTCATGGTACATGCTGCTCTAAGGCATTGAGAGAGTAGCACAGGTATCATGGCATCTTGTTTAGGTTGTGGTTTCTAGAAGCTTATCCCTCAAGAACAAAGGCACTTGTCAGCTTTTACTGATTCTTCTCAGTGCACCCACTGGCTGTGGTCTTCATCTGAAATAATGCCTGTTCTCCTTTGAATGTTCCTGCTATAGGTCTGTCCTTTGGAATTTATTACATAAGTCTTTTGACTTGGTCATCACCCAAGATCAGCACCTTATAGTCCAAGAACCGTGGGGGCCAACTCCTCCAGCTGACTGGTGCTCAGGTGGACGGGTGACTTTTTAAATAAAAGGAATGAGTAACATGTGCACTGCAAAGTCCCGTATCACAGTTACATTTGTGAACACCCTGGACTTCAATCACCCAAGGCGTAAGGGAGAACATTTTATGCCATGGGAGTGTGAAGCAGATAAAAACCATGTCCCATTTCAGAACCCAAGAATGATTCTTTTCTTCTTGGAGGGAGGACAGAATTCCAGATGAGCTTTCACAGTGGCACAGAACAGTATGGGAGACTGCTCTTCAATTTGGCAGAACTCCCTCTGAGAAATCAAGCCTGGAGCACAGGCCTGAAAAGTGTTGTCATAAACCTGGAGGCAGGAGGGGGGTGGAATACATAAAAGGAAAGTGGCTGCCTGGCCGACAGCTTTGAGAACCTGACACTGCTCTGTGGCTGCTTTGCCTTTTAATCCAGCCCGACAGCTTTGTGCTCTGCCCCTCTTCCCGGCCCCAGCCCCACCTGGGCTTCCTTCTGCACTGGGGACTTGGACTCTGTCTGTCTCTCTCTCTATCCTTTGCAGACAGACTCCACACCTTGTCTGAAAAGAGTTGTCATCTAGAGGTTTACTTTTCTTTTTTTTTTCTTTTTCAAAAAAAAATTAATGTTTAGCTGCCAACCTGGGCGACAGACAGCATGCATTAATCTGAGTCATGCAAAAGCTCCTTTTAAGGCAGCCATTACCTGCTCAGGTTGTTTAATCCTCTGGGGGCAGTGGGAGGGGCCCTGGAGCGAGGCTGCTTTCATCCATGTCAAGCTGGAGAGCGAAGACGTGAGCCGTCATGGCAAATATTTAGCCCCATCAATGGGAAAACACTTCCAGCCAAAATACCTGGACCTCCTAAGCCCCAGATTTCCTACTCTTAAAAACTCCCTGTGAATATCAGGGGTCCCCAACTCCTCCCACGCTGCTGTTCAATCAGGGGACACCAGGCCAGCCAAAAGGACAAAAGAGCTATGGCTGGATGGGTGAATTGTGCAGACTGATGGGTCTGAATAAGGGATCTGAGACAAGACACAAAGATGAAAAGCAACATTTGAACACAGCATTTGAATCTGAGCATATCTAGAGGGCCTAAGGTATTTTATTATCAAAATGTGTGTAAAAAAGATAGTTTGACCAAATGGATGGTCTTTTGTAGTATGACATTGCTCATGTGTACACAGAAGGATCACAGGCAGCATTTCAGCTCTTTCTTTTGGATGTTCTGCCCACAAGTGAAAGAACTATTTTCCCCCAACAGCTGAGACCGTAACATCATTCCAGTACTTATGTCCATGACAAATCACGGACTCACTCCGGATTCTAGTAACTTGGTACCATCACCACGTTACCATGTAATAGTTGGAACCTACCGGCAGAGCATGTCCAGACATTGCTGTAAAACAGGGTGACCTTTCATTCATTTTCCAGTGGATTCACCTTTTTGTCTCAGGGCAAATGAAGCAAGAGGAATAATGGGCAGAGTCATTTATTTGTGTCCGGAGTATTGCATCAGATGACAACAAACTGACTGTATTTGCCTAATGCTTTTCCTCCTGTCCCAGCTTCTCCGTAGACTCTCTAAATCTAAATGGAAAAATGGAGTAAAGCTTCCTGTTAACTCTCAAACATGTCACAGCTCTCCATGTCAGCAAAAACAAGTGACACAGGGCTTGCTCACAGATGGCCCCAACAAGCGGGCAGGGATGAACCCTGTGGAATGAGGTGTGGCCTGGCTCGAGAACTGACTAGAGTGTGGCCAAGGAAGGGCAGCCTCAGAACCACTGTCCGTTTACAACTTTTTCCCTGCCCACATGTCTGCCTGGCTTTGAAAAGATTAACAGGAGTGTTTGTTTGAAAGTCAGACTCCTGGTTTCCTCATTAGTGAAGGGATCTGCTACAGACTTGGGCTGTTTCTATAAACTTTAATTACCTCTCTGATGAGGAGTGTATCCCCTCATCACACTCACCCCAAAGGTACAGAGGAGTTCATTTTTAAAAATGTGTTAGGGCAATAAAAGACCATTAGAGGGAGGGAGGATGGGGTGTGGAAGAGACGAGTGAGCGAGAGAAAGAGAGAGAGAGAAAAAAAACACACTAGCTCTCCCTGCTGGAATAATAGGCTTGAAATATGAGGAAGTTGATCAACTGCCGATGCCTTCCAAAAACAGATTAATCCACCTTGGTAGCTTTCCTTTCAGAGCAAGCTTTTGGCTCTGTCAACTTTCTCTATCAGCCTGAACTCAAAAGGACACAGGCCACATGCCATCTGAGCTTAAGAGTTATTTTGTGTGTTGATCTGAGAACTTCACATTTTAAAACAACGAATTCATGTTTCTACCGTTTGTTGCTGTCTGTGGATTTGCTGATATAAAGAGGAGAGTCCTAGCCTGGTCATTTAATGAGTAATTCTGAGGAACGTGAACTACTCCAGGGTGCCCTCCTACATCTGCAGTGGTGGTTCTCAGCTGGGGTGACTTTGCTTCCCTCACCCCACCCTCAGGATATCTGGCAATGTCTGGAGACATTCTGAGTTGTCACAAGAAGGGAGGGGGATGCTACTAGCATCTACTGGGTAAAGCAGAGATGCTTCCAAACATCCTACAATGAACAAGACAGCCCTCCTCCACCCCAACAAATCATGATCTGGCCCAAAATGTCAACAGTGTCACAGCTGAGAAACTCTGATTTTCAGACATAGGGAACCCTGCCTAGTACACAAATCCTCCGTAGTTCCCAAGGGCGGCCTGTAGGTAAGAAAAATGCAGACAGAGCCAGTGAACCACAGGACAGCGCTAAAGCCAGTTGGTGAAATTGTAAATGCATAATCCTAACAAAATAATGCACAGTCGTAACAAAGTGAGTTTTAGAGACAAAGCTTTACAACTTCTGGTAAAATGTCCTCATGTGCAAAAAACAGAGTAGATAAATCAAGGTCCTACATCTACTTGTGTTGACAAACCAGTGAAGTGCGTAATAGAGAATACCAGGTGAACTCAAGGCTATACTGTTTCTAAAATTGTGGGACTAGTACAAAGGTAGATATGGAGAGGAGGAGTGGTAATGATATTCCCTGACATTCGCTCAACAGTTGCTACTGAGCCATACATTCACTTAAATACTAGGAAATTATCAATTTTTCAACTGTTGAAGGCCTATGAAAATAGCAGTTTTCTATCATTCAACCTAAATACTATGTGTAATGTATTATTATATATTAATAGTGTTAGCATATATTATGTATAACATATTATGTTAGTAACATATTTATGCATCCATTACATTATTATATAGTGTCAAATTATCATTTGTTATATTAATATCACAGATTAGGCTTATATTATTATTGGTATGTTAATATATTGATCAAATAGAGGGTCAGCAAACTTTTTTCTGTGAGGGGCCAAAGAATAAATATTTTAGGGCAGGGTGCAGTGGTTCAGGCCTGTAATCCCAGCACTTCGGGAGGCTGAGGCAGGTGGATAACTTGAGGTCAGGAGTTCAAGACCTGCCTGGCCAGCGTAGTGAAATCTTGTCTCTACTAAAAATACAAAAATTGGCCAGGCCTGGTGGTGGGCGCCTGTAATCCCAGCTACTCAAGAGGCTGAGGCAGGAGAACCGCTTAAGCCCAAGAGGTGGTGGGTGCAGTGAGCCAAGATCACACCACTGCACTCCAGCCTTGGTGACAAAGTGAGACTCTGTCTCAAAAAAAAAAAGAATATTTGCTCTGTGGCCCCTGCAGTCTATATACTGACCACTTGACTTTACAGCAGTGGCTCTAAAGCAGCCATAGGCAGTACATGAAAGAATGAGTGAGGATGTGTTCCAAAGTATGGATGGACACTGAAGTTTGAACTTCCTGTCATTTTCACAGGTCAGGAAGTGTTCTTTTTTGCATTTTCAACCATTTAAAAAAAGTAAAACGCATTCTTACCTACTGGGACATGCAACAATTGGTGGCAGCGAGATTTGGCTGGCAGGCTGCAGTTTGCCAACCCTGGGATTATATGAACATTTTATATATGTTATACATATTATAGTATATACTATTGCATATTACATCTATACTATACCTACTATATTATGCTATACTACATCATTTCATATGTCATATTACATTACATGATATTCTATATTACTGTATTATATTACTGTACCTTATACCATCCTCCTGGGCAGTAGCATTCTCCTGGTCCCCGTCCTGCTGGGCATAGCATCCTGGGTGACCTCATCTTTTCTGGGTGGCAGATTCTGGGTAGAAACCCTCTCCCTGGGCAGTAGCATCCTGAGTGTCCCCCAACCTCCCAGGCCTAGCATCCTGGGTGGCCCCCCTCTTCTCGGAGGTGGCATCCTGGGTGGTCCCTGTCCTCCCGGGTGGTGGCATCCTGGGTGGTCTCTGCCCTCCCAGGCGTAGAATCCTGGGTGGTCCCCCTCCTCTCGGAGGTGGCATCCTGAGTGGTCCCCATCTTCTTGGGAGGTGGCATCCTGGGTGCTCTCCATCCTCGCAGATGGTAGCATCCTGGGTGATCCCTGTCTTCTCAGGAGGTGGCATCCTGAGTGGTCCCCGTCCTTCTGGGCATAGCATCCTGGGTGGTCCCCATACTTCTGGGAGGTGACACGCTGGGTGATCCCCGTCATCTCAGCAGGTGGCATCCTGGGTGGTCCCTGTCCCCCTGGGTATAGCATCCTGGGTGATCCTCGTCCTCTTGGGAGGTAGCATCCTGGGTGGTCTGCGTCCTCCCCAGCAGTAGCATCCTGGGTGGCTTCCCATCCTCCTAGGCGGTATCATCCTGGGTAGCCCCCCGTGGCAGAGGGAAGAGCTGTGGCCTCCGCAACCCCCCACTCACTCCCGCTCCGTTCTCTTGCCCTCCCGGCAGCGGCACCCGACCTGACGGCCTTCAGCGACCCGCGCCAGTTCCCCGCGCTGCCCTCCATCTCTGACCCCCGCATGCACTACCCAGGCGCCTTCACCTACTCCCCGACGCCAGTCACCTCGGGCATCGGCATCGGCATGTCGGCCATGGGCTCGGCCACGCGCTACCACACCTACCTGCCGCCGCCCTACCCCGGCTCGTCGCAAGCGCAGGGCGGCCCATTCCAAGCCAGCTCGCCCTCCTACCACCTGTACTACGGCGCCTCGGCCGGCTCCTACCAGTTCTCCATGGTGGGCGGCGAGCGCTCGCCGCCGCGCATCCTGCCGCCCTGCACCAACGCCTCCACCGGCTCCGCGCTGCTCAACCCCAGCCTCCCGAACCAGAGCGACGTGGTGGAGGCCGAGGGCAGCCACAGCAACTCCCCCACCAACATGGCGCCCGCCGCGCGCCTGGAGGAGGCCGTGTGGAGGCCCTACTGAGGCGCCAGGCCCGGCCCGGCTCGGCCCCGCGGGGCGTCGCCTCCTCCTCCGGGCGCCCTGGCCTCCTGTTCCCGACAAGCCTGGCGGGGTCCCGGGCCCGGCCACAGTCCTGGGGCCGAGGGCGCCCGACGGCCAGACGGCCACGAGCTCGCTGTAGGTCAGGCCCGCGCAGCCTCCGGCACCCGGAAGCCCACGCCGCCGCCGCCGCCGCCGCCGCCGTCCGCCGGCGCCCCGGTCTTCGCGGAGGTGTCCGAGCCGACGCACCTCGAGGGTGTCCACCTGCCCCAGCACCCAGGGGACGCGCTGGAAAGCAAACAGGAAGATTCCCGGAGGGAAACTGTGAATGCTTCTGTTTTAGCAATGCTGTGAATAAAAAGAAAGATTTTATACCCTTGACTTAACTTTTTAACCAAGTTGTTTATTCCAAAGAGTGTGGAATTTTGGTTGGGCTGGGGGGAGAGGGGGGATGCAACTCGCCCTGTTTGGCATCTAATTCTTATTTTTAATTTTTCCGCACCTTATCAATTGCAAAATGCGTATTTGCATTTGGGTGGTTTTTATTTTTATATACCTATATATAAATATATATAAATTGAGCTTGCTTCTTTCTTGCTTTGACCATGGAAAGAAATATGATTCCCTTTTCTGTTAAGTTTTATTTAACTTTTCTTTTGGACTTTTGGGTAGTTGTTTTTTTTGAGAAACAGCTACAGCTTTGGGTCATTTTTAACTACTGTATTCCCACAAGGAATCCCCAGATATTTATGTATCTTGATGTTCAGACATTTATGTGTTGATACTTTTTTAATTATTTAAATGTACTTATATTAAGAAAAATATCAAGTACTACATTTTTTTTCTGTTCTTGATAGTAGCCAAAGTTAAATGTATCACATTGAAGAAGGCTAGAAAAAAAGGATGAGTAATGTGATCACTTGGTTATCCAGAAGTATTGTTTACATTAAACTCCCTTTCATGTTAATCAAACAAGTGGGTAGCTCACGCAGCAATGTTTTTAATAGGATTTTTAGACACTGAGGGTCACTCCAAGGATCAGAAGTATGGAATTTTCTGCCAGGCTTACCAAGGGTCTCATATCTAACCTCCTCCTTAAAACAGAGAAGGTCAATCTAGTTCCAGAGGGTTGAGGCAGGTGCCAGTAATTACATCTTTGGAGAGGATTCGATTTCTGTCCAGGGATTTGCTCACCCCAAGGTCATCTGATAATTTCACAGATGCTGTGTAACAGAACACAGCCAAAGTAAACTGTGTAGGGGAGGCACATTTACATAGGAACCAAATCAATGAATTTAGGGGCTACGATTGTAGCAATTTAGGGGCGCACCAGAGGCAGGCCTCAAGGAGCCAATTTCCCTCTGTGTGCCTCAGTGGAGACAAGTGGGAAAACATGGTCCCACCCGTGCAAGACCCCCTGTCCTGTGCTGCTCACTCAACAACATCTTTGTGTTGCTTTCACCAGGCTGAGACCCTACCCTATGTGGTATGTGGACTTTTACCTGTGCACCAGTGTGACAGGAAAGATTCATGTCACTGCTGTCCGTGGCTACAATTCAAAGGTATCCAATGTCACTGTAAATTTTATGGCACTATTTTTATTGGAGGATTTGGTCAGAATGCAGTCGTTGTACAACTCATAAACCCTAACTGCTGATTTTGACATATGTGTGCTCCAAATGATCTGGTGGTTATTTAACGTACCTCTTAAAATTCGTTGAAACGATTTCAGGTCAACTCTGAAGAGTATTTGAAAGCAGGACTTCAGAACAGTGTTTGATTTTTATTTTGTAAATTTAAGCATTCAAATTAGACAAATCTTTGGCTGCAGGCAGCAAAAAACAGCTGGACTTATTTAAAACAACTTGTTTTTGAGTTTTCTTATATATATATTGATTATTTGTTTTACACACATGCAGTAGCACTTTGGTAAGAGTTAAAGAGTAAAGCAGCTTATGTTGTCAGATCGTTCTTATCTAGAGAAGAGCTATAGCAGATCTCGGAGAAACTCGGAATATATTCACTTTCATTTTCCACAGGATTCCCTCCACAACTCAGTTCCATCTATTATTCCATATTACATTTCTGCAGCTAAATTACCATAAAATGTCAGCAAATGTAAAAATTTAATTTCTGAAAAGGACCATTAGCCCATTTCCCCCAAATTGAACGTAAATGTTCTTTTCAGCACATGTTGCCATGTCTGACCTGCAAAAATCCTGGAGAAAAATGAAGGAAAAAATTATGTTTTTCAGTTTAATTCTGTTACCTGAAGATACTCCAACTCAAAACCAGCCTCACGCTCTGATTAGATAATCTTTCACGTTGAACCTTTACTCTCAAAGCCATGTGTGGAGAGGGCTTGTCACTATTGTAGGCTCACTGATTTGGTCATTTAGAGTTTCACAGACTCTTACCAGCATACATAGTATTTAATTGTTTCAAAAAAAAACTAGACCTTAGTTGTTTTGGAGATAGGTCTCACGCAACACATTTTGTGTGTGTGTGTGTGTGTGTGTGTGAGAAAAATTGCATTCATTGACTTCAGGTAGATTAAGGTATCTTTTTATTCATTGCCCTTAGGAAATTTCGTTAAGGTATCAATGAGACCCTCAGGCCAACCATATAATAACTGCATGTGTCTGGTCCAGGAGAAGTATTGAATAAGCCATTTCTACTGCTTACTCATGTCCCTATTTATGATTTCAACATGGACACATATTTCAGTTCTGTTTTTCTCACTATCTGAAAATACATTTCCCTCCATCTCTTCCCCCCAATATCTCCCTCTTTTTCTCTCTTCTTCTGTCTTCCAAACCTCATTTTCTCTCTCCTCATTTTCCCATGTTCTCTTAAGGAGATAGCACATACCCCCACCCAGTACCAAATTTCAGAACACAAGAAGGTCCAGTTCTGTCCCCTTCACATAAAGGAACATGGTGAGTCAGCCTTTCTCCTGTTTATGGGTTTCTTCCAGCAGAGCAGAGACATTGCCAACCATATTGGATCTGCTTGCTGTCCAAACGCAGCCACAAGAGCTTTCCTGGGCGAATCACAATCAGTGAGTAAATAGACAGCCTTTCTGCTGCCTCGGGTTTCTGTGCAGATAAACAGAAATGCTCTGATTAGAAAGGAAATGAATGGTTCCACTCAAATATCCTGCAATTTAGGATTGCAGATTTCTGCCTTGAAATACCTGTTTCCTTGGGACATTCCGTCCTGGTGATTTTTATTTTTGTTGGTTTTTATTTTGGGGGGAATGACATGTTTGGGTCTTTTATACATGAAAATTTGTTTGACAATGATCTCACAAAACATTTTTTTACATCTGAACAAAATGCCTTTTTGTTTACCCTAGTGTATACATTTGTTTTGGGATTTTTGTGTGTTTGTTGGGAATTTTGTTTTTAGCCAGGTCAGTATTGATGAGGCTGATCATTTGGCTCTTTTTTTTTCTTCCAGAAGAGTTGCATCAACAAAGTTAATTGTATTTATGTATGTAAATAGATTAAGCTTCATTATAAAATATTGTTAATGCCTATAACTTTTCTTTCCATTTTTTTGTGTGTGTTTCTAAGGACTTTTTCTTAGGTTTGCTAAATACTGTAGGGAAAAAAAATGCTTCTTTCTACTTTGTTTATTTTAGACTTTAAAATGAGCTACTTCTTATTCACTTTTGTAAACAGCTAATAGCATGGTTCCAATTTTTTTTAAGTTCACTTTTTTTGTTCTGGGGAAATGAATGTGCAAAAAAGAAAAAGAACTGTTGGTTATTTGTGTTACTCTGGATGTATAAAAATCAACGGAAAAAAATAAACTTTCAAATTGAAATGACGGTATAACACATCTATTGAAAAAGCAACGGGAGATGTGGTCCTATTTAAACCAGCCCCCACCTAGGGTCTACTTGTGTGGCAATTATTGGGTTTAGTAACAAAACATCCTGCAAATTCGTGCATGGGCTCCTTTCTCCCTGGTACAAACGTATCAAACGCTTCCTAAAGGGGAACTGTCACGCTTGTGTCTTCAGCCAGATGATATGAGAGAATACCCCAGAAACCCCTCTCCCAAGTGTTTCTAGATAGCACAGGAGAGCAGGCACTCCACTGTACACAGTCCATGGTACCCAGTCGAGTGGGCCACCTCCCCTCTCCTGGGAGCATTCACCGTGCCCAGCCTGTGCAGGGCAGCTGGACTGCTGCTGTTCAGGAGCCACCAGAGCCTTCCTCTCTTTGTACCACAGTTTCTTCTGTAAATCCAGTGTTCTAATCAGTGTGAATGGCAAATAAACAGTTTGACAAGTACATACACCATATCCAATTGGTTTTGTCTTTCTCTGAGATGGAGGGCTGGGAAACCGAGTAAAGCTCACTGCACACACACTAGAAAGAGAACTCCGGTGAAAAGCTTCAGGCTGAAGCTATGCCCTCACCCCCAGTACTCCCAGCACACCCTGGCTTCTGAAGGCACAAGGGCCTGGAGAAGGCACAGGCTCCCGGGGTTGCTTCTCTGCATATGAAAGAGCACTGAAGCATGTTTTAAAAAATAATAGCAATAAAGAAACTAAAAAGGGTTACATGAGACTAGCAAACACAAAGTGGAAAGAGTGTATGTTCAACCTAAGACCAGGCATCTTCATCTGCCTTCATTGCTGTACATTACAGGAGTCAGGCTTAGGTAGTGGTTGGGAGTTTTTTAAAAGAAATACTTCTCTCATCGCCACCCCTGTGCAAAGTATCTTTAATATTTCAGTCTCAAGACTCTGGGTTCAACTTAAGGTATCTTCCCACCAAGAATTACTGTCTAAAGTTTCTTCCACTCGGTCATGCTGTCTCGTGGGACCTCATAACTGATAGAAGAAAATCTTCAGCTGAATCAAATTTAAAGGAATTTAATTGAGCAATGAACAATTTGCGAATCAGGCAGCCCCCAGGATCACAGCAGATTCACCGAGACTCTGGGGTGCCTCGTGATCAGAACAAATTTATAGACCGAAAAGGTAAAGTGACGTACAGGAATCGGAAGTGAGGTACAGACACAGTGAGATTGGTTACAGCTTGGCATTGGCCTTATTTGAACGCAGTTTGAACATTCAGCAGTCTATGAGTGGTTGAATTATGGCCACTGGGATTGGCCAACCCTCCGCTATTGTTACAGGTGCATACTATTAAGTTAGGTTTTTAATTTTGTCTGACCATTAAGCTAGGTTACAGTTCACCCACAGGACTCAAATCTAGAAATATGGAGTCCTTCTCAGGCCATATTTAGTTTGCTTTAACATTGATCTTAAGTGGTCCGCAGGATGACCGCACAAAAAATGTCAGGAACCAAAGTGGGGTCAGCATGAAAGGATGTGACCTGGAAGTCACGGCTCCTGAGCACAGGTAGGAAATAGGGGTAGGATCAGGCTGTACATGGACGTGGCCATGCACAAAGAAGAAAACAGAGGCTTGTCAGGGAGATGTTGATTACCACATCTGTAGCCAGTTGTTAAACCAAACGTTCACGTCAGAGAGATTTTGTACCTTCCGAAGAGCTCAAGTTATTTCAGAGAAGAAACCTAGGCCTGAAGAAGAAAACAACAAACATTTGCGCTTTGATGTTGACCTGGATCGCCTGGCTGAAGTAGCGTTTGTTAGATCTCTCTTCCAGAAAGTTACCCTTTTATCTCCCCCCACTTCCAAAACTGTCCGCTTTGGAAGGAAGTTACGAGGCACAGTCCCACTTAGGAAATGTGAAGTTATGCTCTCGTTTCCTTCAGGAGGTAGGAGTCCTTGGCTGAGGACACTAGAACACCCCCCAACCCGATGGCCTCATGCCTTGTGGGAAACAGAGCCCAGGTGTCCTCCGTGTGAAGGCTCTCTCTGCTCCAGAGAGGGCAGGCAGCTCCTCCCCCTGCTAAGGTGCACCAATACCTGCCCCCACCCCTCTCCAGCCTAGAGGATCCAAAAGTTCAGAATGTTCAGTGTTCTAGAAGCAGCTCCATGTTGCCCAGTCACTTTGGGCTGTGTCTGTATAAGGCCAAGCTTTCACACCCACACTCCACCCACCCTCCACCCACCCTCCAATAATGTAGACAAAGTCCCCACCAGAGTTTCCCAGTGTGGCTCAGGATTCCAAGAAGTCACCACCATTTCTTGGGGGTAGGGGGAAAGAACTGGCTGAGCTTTATCTTATAACCTCACAGAATTCCCCACATCTTTATTCAAAATGAGCCCACCCTGTGGTCATGACAATTCTTACCTGGGTTCCCAGAATCCTAAATCCCAGAATCTAAAGGGAACTCAGAGATGAATAAATGCAACCCGCCCTCAGATGTATAAATGCTTCTCCCCAGCCCTTGGGGTTTCTCGGCAGACAGCTTTGCCTCCCTCCTGACTGATATAATAGAACTAAGTTCTCATGTTCGTTTTTTTTTCGGAGGGAGAGGAGATGGCATGGAATGTGTTTCCTGGCCCAGTGGGAGGAGTGTGAGTTGTGCGACAAATTTTAATATTGGAAATTAAATTTTGCATACCTCAAATTCTCCTTCTAGTTTCAATTTCATTGATGCTTTGTAAGAATTAATTAATGTTTTGAAAGTGTTTGGAACCTAAAAGTCTTACATGCCTACAAAGTACGATTATTTGTTATTACGAATAATTGCATGCAGATACTTTTTCCTCTCACCTCAGCGATTCTGTGAGGCTTTCTGCAGACAACTAAAAGCAGCAATGTTTTGCTTACAAAATGGCTGCCTTTCATCAAAAGCTTATTCTCGCAGTCATTCACATATTGATTCATTTACTCATCTAATATTTGTTGAGTGATGGGCACTGGGGAACTGAGGATAGTCATAATCCATGAACCAGGCAGACAGACAAGGCCAAGTTTATGGACCAGGCTTTTACAAGAACCCCACACTTACTTTACGGTTCTGCTACCTTCATCTTAATTTTTTTTTTTGTTTTTGAGATGGAGTCTCATTCTATTTCCCAGGCCAGAGTGCAATGGTGCAATCTTGGCTCACTGCAACCTCCACCTCACAGGTTCAAGTGATTCTCCTGCCTCAGCCTCCTGAGTAGCTGGAATTACAGGCGTGCACCACCACGCACAGATGATTTTTGTATTTTTAGTAGAGACAGGGTTTCGCCATGTTGGCCAGGCTGGTCTCGAACTCCTGACCTCGTGATCCGCCTGCCTCGGCCTCCCAAAGTGTTGGGATTACAGGCATAAGCCACCGCGCCTGGCCCATCTTGAAATTCTTAATAGTTTCTTTAACAAGAGTCCCTGAATTCTTATTTTACACAAGGCCCACAAATTATACAGACAGTCTTACAGACAGGTAAACAGACCACCAAAGTATAGCATATGGGGCCATAACATAGGTATAAAAAACTCCAGAAAGGTGCTAGTGAAACTTAACCTGAACAAGTTGGGGAAGACTTTAATAAAAAGGTGACATTTGCTTTCAAAAGACAGATGGAGGTTTTCATGCCAAAAAAGGAGAACTGTAATCTGTACAGAAGGAGGGTGTGAACCAATTACACACATTTCTTCCTAGAAGCCATGGTAAGATGACCAGGTTGACACTGAGGTTGAAGCTCTTTGCATATGCACTTCAGGAGAAATGTATGAAAGTGTGAGGAGATGCAAATTAAGAAACACTACAACTAAGCAAGCTGAAAATAATTGTATCTGAAGGGTGATAAAGGGCCAGTTCTCAGAGATATTTCTGTGTCCAACATTATGTGTACGCACTTACATATGGACATAACATACGCATGTGCGTACGCACATGCACACACTCTTAGGTCCACTGCTGAGAGCACCAGGCCGATAAGGCCAGGGTCATCTTGAGTCATTAAATGTACTGGATTAAAGTGCCATGGGGATGAAATTCTGGGTTCAAATTCCTGAGAAATCTTACTAGCTTTGCCCCTCACTAGTCATGGCCCCAAATTGCTTCCTAGCCTCAGGCTGCTGTCTGTCAACATTAATCCAAAGCAGTACTAGAAGTCCCCCTACCACACACAGACAGTAGACACCTAGAAATGTCCCTGCATAGGGTCATTATTGTGTTAAAAGAGAGAAAGGGACAAAGCTACTGTTACGGGTTGGCTTGTGTCCTCTTAAAATTCATATGTTAAAGTCCTAACCCCCAGGACCTCAGAATGTGACCTAATTTGGAAATAGGTTTGTTGCAGATACAATTAGTTAAGATGAGGTCATCAAGGATTAGGGTAGACCTCCAACATGACTGGTATCCTTATAAAAACGAAAATTTTGGACACAGAAGCATGCATACAGGCAGAATGTCACATGCAGATGAATGCAGAAATTGGGGTATTGCTTCTATAAGCCAAGGAATGCCAAATATGGCCAGCGACCCCCAGAAGTTCAGGGAGAGGCCTGGAACAGATTCTCCTGCACAGTCCTCAGAAGGAACCAGCTGTGCTGACACCTTGATCTCAGACTGCCAACCTCCAGAACCGAGAATAAATTCCCGTTATGTAAGCTGCCCGTGTGTGGTGCTTTGTTTGGGCAGCCTTAGCAAATTAATAGAGACACAGCCATGGAGAAGGTCCAGATTTTCTCCTAAGAGGCATGGACTGTGGTGCATCCTGAATCCCCTTCCTGTGCCTGGCGCTGACCCGGGCCTCACCTCTGCATTACTCCCCTGCACCAGATGAGCTCAGCCGGCACCCTAGAGTCAATGTGAGTGTTCAAGCATCGTGTTTGTCACTGATTTTATTTCCCAGAAAAATGTCCCACAGGAAGGGGCGTGATCTCAACACTCCCCTCTCAAGCATCCAAAGTGGATTATCCACCTGGTGAGACAGCAGGCTTTAATCCTGTTTGGCTTGCCTGGGTCACCCAACATCTCTTCCCCATCAGTCAGCATGTGCTGAAGGAATGCGAATGACATACCATGGTCACAAAGCAAAATATAATTAGTAGGGTAAATTTGCTGAGTGAAGACATTTATAAAATGCATTGAATAGAGAAAGCAGAAATTTTCCAGAATTGGGCTTAATTGTCCTGCTCGGTACAAATGGCATCTACCAGCCACTGAGAATGCTGCCTCCAGGTTGCTGTTGTAAGTCCTTGAATGAAACCTTATCATCTGTGAGACGGTAAAGCACAAGAGAATGCTCCCTGAGGCACAGTTGTAACTCCACCACGGGCTCGCTGCGGTTCTGTGGGCGCATTGCAAAATACCTCTGCGCCTCACTTTCCCAGTCTGTAAAACTGAGATAATAGGTTTATTGTGAGGTTGACGTGCATCGAAGCACGCCAAGTTCTTTGAACAGTGCCTGCTACCTTATGAATGTT